AAAAGGGGGTAAAATTGAATTTATTTTTATAAATAATGTTTAATCATAAAATTAAATAATTTCAAATAAAATAAATAGAAAAATAAAATAATTGTATTATGTTAGTTTTCAAGAAAAAAAGGGGGTAATAAAATAAGAATAAATGAGAAAATATAATTGAATTGAATAAAAAATAACAAACAAAATAAATTATAATAGGAAATTATATAAAGAAAAAGAATAGTTACATTAATAACAATGATAAATAATACAGAAATGAACAAAAATATAAATACGAAATAAAAGAACAAATTTTCATAAAAACGATAAAAATATGAATATAAAATAAAAATAAATACAAATAACATTACATTAACAATAATATTAATAATTTTATGTAATGATTATAAAAAAAATGTAAAAGAAATAAATAAATAAACATCATTAGAAGAATAAAGAAAATATAATAATTCGTCATCCATTATTATTTAATGAAATGATAATAACTATATAATAATGATGACAAAAGTGTATACAAGAGAAGATAGAGAACGATATGGATTGAAAATACCAAAAGGATTTAATGGAATTGGTGATGAATGTTTTGAAGGATGTATGTTGAAATCAATTAAAATCCCTACAAATATTACATCATTAGGAAATAAATGTTTTGCATTATGTTGGATGTTAACGTCTATTACTATACCAACTTCTGTTATTAAAATAGGAAATAGATGTTTTGAAGTTTGTTCATCATTAAAATCTATTACTATACCAACTTCTGTTATTAAAATAGGAAATAGATGTTTTAAAGGATGTAATTCATTGACATCAATTGAAATACCATACTCAGTTCGTAAAATAGGAAATGAATGTTTTAATTTTTGTGATGAATTAATGTCAATTGATATTCCATATTCAGTTAGCGAATTAGGAAGAAATTGTTTTTGTTATTGTGAATCATTAACATCAATTGATATTGGAAATATTCAATTTATTAGTGAGGAAAGAATGTTTGTAGGGGAAGAAAAACTCGTTTGTATTGAACTTGGTAATTTGAAAAGAATAAATGGAAAAGAAATAAGCGAAAGAGACATTAATGAATTTGTTATTCCTACATCAATTAGAAAAATAGGAGA